CGTAGAGCAAAACTGGCATTATCAGGGCCCTGAAAACCCATAACTTGGTCCTTCTGCACAGGCACCGGCACCTCCAAATACTCTTGTCGAGAGAGTTCATGACCCCTGCTGCCAGGCCAATCTGTCTGCTGACTTCCTGGTCTGACAGCCCAGAGTTATGAACTGCACTACCAAGGTATGTAAAGCTCTCTGTGACTTAAATGTCCTCGCCGCAAGCACATACCGACCGAACAGGTTCTCCTAGCAAGTCCCCAAAGTCCTGGATCTTGGTCTTGGTCCAGGAGACCTCTAGACCCAAGGGCTTCGCTTCATTACTAAATGCATCGAGAGCCACCACTAGGGTTTCCAAAGACTAAATTAGAATAGCAACATCATCGGCAAAGTCAAGGTCTGTAACCTTGATATTGCCCAGTATTGCTCCACAATGACTTTGAACAGTAGCTCTGCCTAGTATCCAGTCCATGCAAGTGTTGAAAAGTGTTGGTGCAAGAACACAGCCTTGCCTCACTCCTGAACTGACTGGGAAGAAGCTCGACAGGCCCCCACCACACTTTACAGCACTTTCAGTACCAGCATACAGGTTTGCTATTAGTTCAATAAACCTTGTTGGAATTCCTCTCAGTCTCAGGATCTCCCAGAGTGATTCCCGATGCACTGTATCGAACGCCTTCTTGAGGTCGATGTAGGCTGCAAGCAGCCCATGTCCGAACTCATGGCGGCGCTCTACAATGACTCGAAGCGCAAGGATACGGTCTATTGTTGACTTCCCAGGAGTGAATCCAGATTGCTCTGGCCTGTGATGCCTTAGTAGATGGTCTCTAATACGCCTAAGAAGGATGCGGGCAATAACCTTGCCTGGTACACTGAGCAGTGTGATGCCGCGGTGATTGCTGCAGTCCCCCCCCCCCACACACACACACACACATATGTATATATATGTGTGTGTACGTACGTATGTCCATACGTATCCGAGGTGTCGGTATAAGTATGTGTCTACACTAGATAATGCAGACCGTATTCGAGCCAATAAACAGTGATAAAAACATTATTAATACATTTGTGATAAATTATATCTAGTCATTTAGTTTATTTTTCATCACTATATATAAACGAAATAAATTAATAACAAAAACAAATGTGTTATTTATACAAATTGCAGAAAAGAACCTCTAAAACACATTTTCAAATTATATAAAGTTACATTGGCTCTTGTCATCCACGAATATTACGTTCCTAAACCTCCGATAAGTTATATTTTTCTTGAATGCTTCCCGTGAATACTGCGTGAACTATTGCAATGGCCTACATCTGTTTTAGACATTATTAAGAAGAAATGATTGTGTAGAGAGAACGTGGTGTGCTTATGACGTGCCAAAATAGATTATATTCTGTAGATAATCTATCAGAAGAGACCTATGACAGCCTCCACGAGTGGGTGTAGCAGTAATTAATTCACTGTTTGATACTTCACTGCCCGCTTCAGCCTTTCAAAGGGTAATGCAGAATTCAAATCAGACGGTATCCATTTATTTGAATTTCAAGGGGATACAAGTTTATGGCATGCAGTGTTCATATGAAATATATATGATATAATGAATAGATGCAGACATGTAAACACACACACACACACACACACATTTGCGTGTGTGTGAGACATAGCATAATCTTTGCAATCAGTGACTGGTGTAGGAAATTACAGCAGGGAAAATACGCAAGGTATATACAAGAGGACTCCTAGTGCATCTCCAGAGTATGTCAGCGCCGAAACCGTATGACTATAACCTCTACGCCCAAATATGGCTATTGTAAGCGACTCTACCAGAGCCTATGAAACAAAGATGTATTACAACTCATTATAATATATCTTAAGGAGAAGGTTCAGCTTTAGTGCAGCCGTTTCACATAACATTGTCATTAAAAACGGGAATGATCTGAGAAAAGGAAAAATTGATTAGCAAGACTGATAATCATAGAGATGCCAATAATAATAATAAAATGGTAACGTGAGCAGCAGTGAAGGGATACGAGAGAAATAACTATCATAAATAAAGGATTTATACAATGCAGTGTTATTCACATTATTAATTAGTCACTAGATTTGAATTAACTCTAAATTAACGTTCACACGCTCCAATAATCTCATTCGTTTGAAATCAAACGAATATTTTTCATAGTTTGTTAAAAGTTGGATCATTCAACAATAATTACTCATTAAATAATTCATTCAGGATGCAGTAAGATTGTGGAAGATATTAAACACTAAATCATTATATCAGAAAAAGTATCATTCACAAAAGAATTAAAAGTTGGATCATTCAACAATAATTACTCATTAAATAATTCATTCAGGATGCAGTAAGATTGTGGAAGATATTAAACACTAAATCATTATATCAGAAAAAATATTCTCTCTGGCAAAGGCCAACAAAAAATGTAAATTTGTTAGTATTCATGTTATGTTATTCACTGGTTTAAATAACATATACCATGCCATTTAGCGGATGCTAAATGGCACTGAGATCGTCAGAATTATCAATAATTAACACATTTTACGTAATAAACCAAGCACATTCTTTACATTTCTCACTAAATACTACTGCAATGCAGGATCCACATGAATTCAAAAAGTTAAAAAGCAAATAAAAAATAAAAAAAGTTTCTACTTTAACAATGTGTATATGACTGGATCATGACTGTGTAGGTATGAGAGAGAGTATCACACAGTTGGTTTAAGTCTGCTATAGACTTTGGAACTTCTTAACACAAACACATAATTTATGCTCGCGTCATCGTTGGCACTATACAACTCATAGCCGCGATCGCTGAACATCTGAATGAAATCGGAATCGTAGTTGTTCTCCTCTTTCCTCCCGTGCCCACCGTGCTCCACCAGCCACACGTCCACCGTTATGCGACCCCACGGGAAGTGCCTCAGGATGCCCATTTCAGCGCCCTCCACGTCGAGGGAGACCAAGTCCACGTGCGTGACGTCGATGGCGAGCAGCAGCGTCGCGAGGGGGAGACACTGGACCCTCTCGTACTCGCGGTGCCCCGGGAGCGAGTTGTCCATGGCTGCCCCTCGGTCGTGACTCATCATCATGGAATGGGCGCTCGCTGCCCTGTTCTCGTACGTGTCTATCGCCGAGTGTTCGCGTCGAAATTTGACCAGGAAGTCTTCGTGGGGATACTCGTGCGCGGCGAGACAGGAGTGGCTCGCCCAAGCCTTCCTTCGCTTCGTTAGTAGTTCTTTGAAGGAATCCCCATTGCTCTCCACCAGCAAACCAGTCCAGCCCAAGTCCCTCTCCAGCAGCAGGGTGTTGGAGAGGAATTCCCCGTCGAGGGCGCCGGCTTCCACGAAGAAGCCCCCCCGCGTCCCTCCGAAGATCTCGCGCAGCACTCGAGCGAAGAACACGTAGCCGAACTCCCCGACGTAAGATGTGTACTTCTTAGCTTCCATGCGGACCTGGGCGTGATCCTGGACGAGGTTGTAGGGCAAGTCCGACGGCGGGGACAGGAAACCTTGCCTTACGTACCGCAGGAGGTCCGGGTCGTCGTAGGGCACAGGTCCTCTCATCCTCGCCGTCGTCTCTAGGAACTCGGAGCCTTCCCTGGACCCCGAAGAGAACACGGAATACTGGAGGCAGAAAGAAAAATAAATGCGCTTGTTTTGTCAAATCCGCATTATGTTTGCGGATTTTAGATATACAGAACAAATGCCAGCAACTTTTATTGTTGGGCATCTCATCATAGTTTTACAAAAGAATATGTATAATAAAGAAAAAATATATATAAAGGCAAACTATCTAAATGTCGCACTATTGGACAGTGTACAGTCTCCACAGTGAAAATGTAAAGCGATTAATAATAAGGTAATTTTCTATATTACCTCCGCCTCTCCGATATCGACGATTTTGGTATCGTTGGATTCCTGTCACTCAATACACTGCAAATATGTAGGTTTTATTGCGTGGAAACCCCCGTTAGCAGCAAACTTGGCCCCGATAGCAGGGGGAATGGAAGGTTCCAGGGAAAATGCGCGGTTGAATAACACTAATAATATAACCCACAGTGAAAATAACCATGGTTATTAACATGACTTTCCCATTGCAGGGGCTGCGCCCCCTGCGACCCCCCCCTGAGAGGGGCTGCCGCCCACCAAACCCCCGCCGAGGACACAAAATATCCCCCACGTGTTCACGGCAGGATAGATCCCACACGAACTAAATGCATCGAAAAGGCGCAAAACCCGCCGAGCCGACGAGGGCGGGCCACCGCCGCTCTTCTGTTCGTGGTATACCTTGTTGGTAATTGTTGAAGACCGCGACGCACCCTCGCAGAGACTAAGTCGAAAAAAAATGATGTTTTTCTGCATGAAATCCTATGATTTCATCGATTTTCGGCGTTGTTTCTTTTGCGAATGAATCGTTCAGGAGATCGAGTACCATTTCTCCATCGACGATCTTGATTAGATAGTCCCGTTAGCAGGGGAGGCATGAAGTATATCAGGGAAATTATGGGGTAAAACAAGCTTAAATAAGAAGAATAACGATCAAAAATGCGTAAAACTAGCACAAAAAGCGCTTAAAATCGGCCAATGAAACTCTACGGATGTAACCGCCATCTTTGAAAGTTTACGGACTGACGCGAAATAAATAAAAAAAAACTCTACGGGAACCCAACCCACATTTCGGCAAAAAAATCTACGGGAATTCACACGTTCCAACCCCCAAAAACGTATTGACCAATAAACCAACCAACCTAATATATCAATATATTGCCGTGACTAGGCGTGCCCTTCGGGCACTGCCCGAGGGGAGGGTTGATGGGGGGCAAGCCCCCCCACCCCCAGGACACATTCTCTCCACCACGGTATGTACGGCAAGACAGAGCTGCATTCACACCGTAAAATAATAAACGAAATACCTTTATATCCGGAAACGTGAAACTTTCGTTTCTTTGTACTGTTGGGATTGCTTCGATTTTAATCACCTTTTTCGTCCTTTGGAGCTCTTGATGGGCTCAGATATAAAACTGGGATGGTTACTGAAGTCGAATTATCTTCGATGCCACTGTAAAGGTCTTAAAAAGAACCAGAATCAACACAACACTGGAAACGCAACATTTCTCACCGGCTTTCAATCTCGAAATGAGCGGGTTGGTGAGCTGTCAACCTGTGGCTGGCGCAAGAAAGTGTGAAACACTCGATGCGCAGGATTCGATATGAGGGTATAGATAAATATAAAAATATGCAATTGAAGTATAACAACATTACTAAAAGACTTTAAAGGTATAAATGCGTACCAGCAGACACAGATAATTAGCCAAATATCGTTTTGACAAGCGCGTAATGATACACGGACTAGTTCGCGAACGCAAAAATGCGTTCGTGGGTCAGTGTCGTGTTTTTCCTAGCAAGGTAAACAAGCTCATCGACTTTGAATTTGAAAGGCGGCCGCGCGTTATATTTTCGTCATTTAGCGGTGACTACAAGGCCGGTGCATCTTAAACTATACGCTATCCCCTTCTATTTTTCCCGCTCTATAAGATGGCGGTGTCCATTTTCCTCTATTTACGCGCGTCGCGGTCTTCAACCTCTACCATAGTTGCAAAACAAAATAAAAAAAAATGTCTCGCATTTCATACCCACGTCCAGACCAAGGTATTTTGTCTCGAAATAAGGTAAATGTTTATGATAGGACCGCACCCGTCAGAGACGAAGACCCCGACTCCCGCCAACAAGGTTGGGGGATCCCGTGGGGAATCGGGGGTTTGGGGGGGGTGATTTCGTTCATACAAATGCATTTTAAAAAGCAAAAGAATGTGGGAAATTGAAAATCCGAGCCAAGGATAGTATTTCAGATGACAAAGAAAGTGAAAAATGTAGGAATCCGAGAGAAGATTCGGCCACGGATGATTCGATACGGTGTTGCGCGAGCGAACGAGCGAGTGAACCGTATCTCAAACGCACGAACGACCAGTAGGATCGCCGTATGAACCAAAAAAACTTCCTAACTCGTGGGCTACGCCCCCGGACCCCCTCCCGATTACCGTATTTCCCTACCGGGGGCTTCGCCCCCGGACCCCCTCCAGATTATCTAGCTTCCCTACCGGTGCCTCTATATCGCCACTGACTACACTTGAAATACAAAATGAATTTACCTTAAAGTTGGGGGGACGGTGGTTGGGAAGTGACGAACCGCAGACGAAATTCTACAACTGGAACACGGTTATTGTATTTCACTGAGTTTCGTGTTATCCCCGATATTGTAACGATTTCAGTGAGAGATCGATTTCACCGCAAAGTTGGAAAAAAGTCGGAAACGCTAGTAGCACTGTAAACAACCTTCACCTTTGAAACAAACAACGAGAACTGTAACAACAGAACTGTCAAATTTGCCGGGAGAGGGCAGCGATGCGCAAGTATGGATATACTATGTATTTCTAATGAAACTATGGTGCATATATGGTGAAATCGTTCACATCGTGTATTTAAGGAATGAATATTTGATAAATGCGTTTTTCGTTAAAATTTCATATAAATTGGAATACAGAAATACATTTTACTACAGTGCATTTATAAATTTGTCGTGACGTCACAAGCTACATGCGCCAAAACAGTTCATGTTGGGTTCCCGCGCAGCTAAGTGGTTCGCTGCGACGCGAGGGGGTTGGACTTTGTCGCTGGAGGCTCGTGGGGACTTTCTGCGCGCCAACTTTTCCTCATTTAACTCGAAGAGGTTCGCTTCTGCAAATCAATTTTGATAGCAATGCATGTAGTTTTTCATCGCCTACAACACTGTGATCTACAATTTTCTCCTAGTCGGTGCGGTCCTATCGTAAACCTTAACCATAAAAACTACTAAAATTCAATTAAAAGGCCTGTATATAATAATAGATCTAATTTACATTATTCGTGCACTATTCTTGTAATCAGTATATAAAGTGAGTACATCCGCCTCCTAATTAATAAAAGAATCTGTCAGGACACGTAACTTTCCTGTAGTATCTGGCGGCCTCCGTTGCTGCTGAAGCCGGCTGCAAACTCAGTCATCCAAGCGGGGACGGATAAAAAAAGGGACATGTTTCCTATACCAAGGGCGGGGGCCGACTGTTTATTCAGCGGGAAACGATGGTGCCGTGACGTCACGGTCATACATCTTTAAAATCTCCTAAACATAAAAGAACTCCCATAAAACTTAAGCACACAACTGAGTAAAAACTGGTTTGACTCACTAAAATCGAAAATGAGTTAAAAAAAAATTATTAGAATAAATAAAACAACGAAAGAACATAAAAGAACAAAACCAAAGAAAACCAGACCCAAATGGGTACAACTAAAGAAAACCTAACTCGCCTAAAAAGCGTAAAAGTATAGAAGAGTACGTAGAGTATAAAAAATGCGCAGGAGAAAGGACACGCGGTAGGTAAAGTCTCCTCCGAGGGCGGGAGAGCGAGAGGGCTGCGAGATGGCCGCCGTCACGGGATGTGGAGGCTGCGGTG